CAAGACTTCTTTCTTGAGAATTCAGCAGAAAATAAATAAATAAAAAACTTAAAAAAAAAAAAAAAGAAGAAGAGAGGTAGGTGACTGCCCAGGAGGGAAGACACCTTTCTGCGTCAGAACATTTTTAAATAGGGGAAACATACTATTCAGGGGCCTTCTACTCAATAGGCTACTTGACTGTTTCTCAAGCTCATAAAATTTCCTTCTGCAATTAATTTTTCACCAGTGGGATAATGGTTCATTCACTTCCTTACAGCCTGCTTTGGGGTGTTTTAATATAAAGGCAACATAGCCCAACACCATTCACATAATAATTGATTTCATTTATGACACATTAGAAACAGACTCACTTTACATTACCAAAAGGGGCAGGGGGAAACGTCATAAAATTTAGCATTTGTATAATCAGAAAGAAAAAAGGCAGGAGGCACCCTGAGCCCTGGACTAGCAAACAGTGGGTTGGTATCTGGGCAAAATTAAATAGATCCTTTCAAGAACAAAGTGGTGTCGTGGTCTTTTTCATGGGCAACCCCACAGTACACACAGAATGCCTGAGACACTCTCCCACCAAGAACGCACCCTCCACAGTGATGAAGGTTATTGCCCACATGTCAAAGCCTTAGAAAAATCTGCCTTTCCTGGACCGAAGGAAATAAGAGCTAGACTTGATGCCGGGTGAGAGAGAAAAATGACCGGAATCCACGAGCCTCAGGGAGCACAAAATGCTTCCCCACTTTTCACGGGATACTTTTTACACAAGAAGAGGAGAAACGGAGTAAAAACTGTTCGTCATCACAACGCTGAGGTGCTTTCTGGGGAGAAGAAAGGAAAATATGGGTGTGCTAAGAGCACTCTGGACACAGCCTAAATCGTGAAGCCCCCATCACTGAAAGTGAGCGTGCGTGCGTGTGTGTGAGCGGAGGAAATGCACCGACGCTTACCTTGGTAGGGATCCGTGCTGTTACAAGGAAGGCTCGGCATGATGTGAGCACCTGCAGGAGAGAAAAGCAGCATCAGTGTAGGTACTACCAGCAGGACTGGGAGGCTCTGGTGTCATCCACAAGACTGAGGGACACTAAGGCACTGAGAGGCCACGGGGCTTGGCTCCTGGCATGTGAGAACACTAAGTGAACTGGGACGGCTTGTTGGCCATGAAGAACTAGTTTTACTCAAGAGTCGCTGTACGAAGGTCTCCCCCGAACAAATCACTTGTGAAATCTCAAGACGAGCAATCGGTCAACAGCCCAAAGGACCAGGAGATTACGTCAGCTGAGTCAACAAGACAGTTCTCTGTGATATTAAAATACAGAGATCTTATAGAAAGACAGTCATGAGCCTCCGTGCATCAACAGCAAACTGAAGGAAGAAGCCAAGTGTTCATGCACACTTTCCAATTACAACCACCAGCCACACTGGCCCTCCTGCTTCCCTTTCTCTGTACACCAGCAGGGAACATTTACACGAGGCCCAGGCAGCGTAACGGAGAGGCTTCTAAGCTGTCCCCGGCTATGTCTCTCAGCGGGCTTCTCTCAGTCCTCGAGAGAACATTTATGGACGTTCCAATTCCAAAACAGCTAAGAACATCTACGGAGCCCAGAGGACCCCACATGCCCAGCAGAGGCTAGAAATGGTTTGAAGCCAGGCCTGGAGCAGGGATCCCACGTCCACAACCGCAAAGATCTAAACGCGCCTGGAGGCCCAGGCAGGCCCCAGGGCCTTTGCAGTGAAGAGGAGTCCCTGACACTTAGGTTTTGACGGGAGAACTGGCTTTTTCATTTCCCAAAGAACCTCCTCGTCACTAAATTTATTATTTACAATACAGCACACACATTTCTCTCTTCCAGGGGCACTAACACAAGCAACCCCCAGTCTTGTCGTGAATCTTACACCCACGGAACCTCCACATAGAGGTAAAATTGTAACCAGGTCGTAAGACTCACATGCCCAAAGAGGACTCTATCACCTGTGACCTAAAACCCCCTTGTTTACCGTCTCAGTGTCTAATCTGAGAGCAGGTCCAGAGAAACTCATCACATTTGCCGGCCTGTGAGGCGCTGGGACTGGATCCTGTGACCCCTGACCCCCAGCGTATTAGATCTCTACACCTTCTCCTCACGTGCGCAATATGTTCAATGCCAAAAGCCCCAGACAGGAACATGCAGCCTTTCCAGTATCTGGAAAAATATATTACGCTCTGTGAACATTCCTGCAAATGGAGACTGGTCCCACGACATCCAGGATCATGTTACAAGCACAGTAGTAGTGACAATGGCCAATACCGCTGGGTACACATCCCTAATCCTCTAAGAGCGAGACACAGTTATTATCCCCATTTTAACAAGAAGAAATGAAGGCACAGAGAGCTTACGTAACTTCCCAGGGGACCAGCAAGCAGGTGGCGGAGCTGGGATTTGAACCCAGTGTGGTCTGGGTCCAGACACTGGGCTTCTAATTCCTTATACGGACTCTCAAATTTTCCAGAACCCACTTCCTTAAGACTCTACACACACGCAAACACAGCTGAGTCACAGGACTTTAAAGCCAGAGGGAAGCAAACAGGTAAAAGCGTCATCAGGAGGATGAGGGATGTTTGAGGATCACAAGGAAAAGAACCCGTCCCTACTGGTCAGCCTGTCTGTCTGTCTGTCTCTGTCTTCTGTCTGCCTACCTGATTCTATCTGCGTATCTCTCAGTCTGTGTGTGTCTCTCCCCCTTTTCCACGCCCTGCCGCACCTGCTACTCCCCCCACTCCCCCACACTCCCCAGCCTCTCATTCTCCCGCCCCTCCTCTGGTACACTCCCCTGCACTCTGCCCTCATTTCCCAGAGCCTCCCCTATGCTAAACACTTGGGAGCTTGCGTCTTTTTTGTGCCGATTGCCAAACAGTAGACACCAATCACAGAGGAAATACCGCATTCCGGAAGAATATTTCATTTGTAACACGGTCACAGAGACCCTTGAACAAAACGCAAAATAAAAACAACAAGGCACCTTTTGACATGGTTAAGCAGTGAGCACCTCGGTAATTAAGTGATTACAAGGTCCCCTGTGTGAATCTAATAAGTCTTAGAAACTAATCTCAAATGAGCACCCAAGCAACTGCAATCGCCAGCACCGGGCGTGGGTTGGCCTCTCGCCCCTCTGTCCGTGCTGCGCTCCCTCCGGGGAACGAAGTCTCCCACAAGCAGCAAGGCCATCCGACGACCTGCCTGCCTTCTCTGGATCAGCCCTCTCCAGATCAGTCACCCCAGCGGGCTTCTAGGTGCCACAGAACACGGTATTAACTGGGTCAGTACACTTCTTAAAAGGGAGGATTTAAAAAAAACCCAGAATGTTCCTACAGATTCACTTTTTGAATAAAGAGCAATCTATCTCTTGACCATACGTAGACATACGATGTTCTCATGATCACTGCTGCTTTCCCTCAAGCAACAACAGAGTCTGCAGTCTGTGGTCCTGTGTGCCAACTCCCTTTCTTTAAGAATATTTTTTAAGCACACAGTGTCCTCCAGAAGTGTACACAGTGTCCTTTGGAATTTGGACACAGGCCAAAAGAATTTGTTTGAAAAGAGCCACATCCATGTGGGAGCCCGGGCTTTCAAGGAAGAAGCTTTCTGCCGGCTGGTCCCCATTTCTGGTGATCACCTCCGGTCCCCAGAGGCACGAGGACTGGTCTGGGAAAGTCTGGAAGGCGGTGGAGTGGGGTGGATGAAATCCTCAGAAGCTGACCCAGCCTTTCCCACTACCTGTGAGCACAACAGTGTAGCAATACTTTGCAGCAAGAATGAAACAGTACAAATGCTATCATTCCAAGAATCCTGCCTCTTGCCCCATCAATGCAAACTGGGCGAATAAATGGGGCCACGTTCATGCTGGGAATCCCAAAGAACTTGGTCTCCTAGCTTTCCTGTTCGGCTCCAAGACCGCCCCGGGATCTGCGGTCTTGGGGGCCCTACAGTGCATACATATGGCGATCACACAGGAAAACTCCTCTGATCCTGACTGATGCTGATAATGAACACCACGTTGGTGCTGGGAGTAACAAGCACCTTCCTTGCAGGGTGACCAAATCCTCCCATTTGCCCAGGATGTTTCTAGCCTGAGCACTGAGAATCCCGTGTCCCAGAAACCCAGGACTCTTGCTCAGCCTCCGTGCACGGGTTTTGGAATCAGGAAGGCAGATTTAAATTCTGGCTCTGCTACTCTCTAGCGGTTTAACCCTGACGGAGTTAGTGAACTTGCCGATGCTTCGATGTGCTCATCTGCACAACAAGAAGAATATTCCTCTGCAGGACTGATGCTCTTGTTTTAAGCACGATTTAAGTGTACTGACCTGGTGAAGATATGGCCCTAGCCCAGCGCCCAGAAGGTCTCTGCCAAATACCAGCTCTTCTTTCATTATAACTGATGTGATCACATCTTAAATTTCGATTCCCAAATTAAGTAGTTACACTTCTTGAATTTTTAAGTAATAGTTTTTGGCAGCAGAACAATACAAACAACAAAACCCACCAAGATTCTGAGACATCCTCTAGGCTGAAATTTTCAGTTCAATATATTTTCTTGCAAAGTTTAAAAAAAAAAAAAAAGTAGGGGAGGGTAGAGGGCATCAGAAGAAATATCTGTGCTTAATCAAGGAAACTTAGTCACCAAGGGCAAGCAACCTCCCTCCCACCTCCTCTGGGGAGGCCCATTCTTCCACAAAGGTCTTAGCATGCAAACCACATCTTCAACCCCTATAATGAATTTCCTCTCCCTTTCATTGAAATGCAAGCAGCAGCCTTTGCGCCCTCTGAGGTTTCTCCACTCAACTTTTAACTTCAAAATTTCACTTGGAAACATTTATAAAAATCCTCCCCACTGCTAAGACTCACAGCTTAGCAGAGAAGCCTAAATTTTCTTGTGGAAATGATATATAATGAGGTGGGCTATGGAGCCCTCTCACTGCACACTTATTAAAAACTGAAATAAATACCTGTTTCACCCTCTTTAATAACTCCACTGCCTAAAGCCTACCGCCGCACAGGTAATCCATAAATTCATGCCACCTAAATCCACATTCTCTCACACAGTTCACTAAGAACGCCTTTCCTTTAAAATTGGGCTCTACCCGGCAAACATTCAAAAAAGGGTCTTATACCCCCAAAGTTCTAATTTGCAAGCAAACTAAATGATGGATGCCATTTAATTCGTTTACCCTCTTCCAGACTCCCAGCGATGCTCCAAGGGCATCACGGACAAGACCTCTTTAATCCAAGACACGGGGGAGAGAGACGGGCAGGTGGTGAGGACCACTATCACCACCGTGGAGTTATGAGTGACAGATGCCCAGAGCCTTGTGCAAGATCTCCCAGAAAGTTGACAGAGAATATAAAGTCTCTCCTGGCCCTGAGCCTCTTAACATCCCACTGTACCCAGCCATGACGACCATCACCCTCTGTAGCTAAAGCAGGAGGACGCTTCACCCAAAAGGAATACAAACAATCCATCATTTCCGTGCAATTTCTGGCCCCCGATCCCTTATAAAACTGGATCACCATACTACTGAGTGTCTGTCTCTCTCTGTCATTAATAGATGTGCCCTAACAAGGCAGGATGGTCTAGAACAGGATCTGAAAATTACAGCCTATGGGCCAAATCCCGCACGCCCCCTATTTTTACAAATAAAGTTTTATTGGGACACAGCCACACCATTTGTTTGAGGTATTGTCTCTGGCTGCTTTCACACTACAAAGGCAGAGTTGAAGCGACAAGAGATTTTTAGGGCACACAAAGCCTAAAATACTTACTATCTGGTCCCACACAGAAAAAGTTTGCCAACCCCTGCCCTAGCGGTTTAAAGGAAAAACCCTGGAGTCGGGCAGTGGTCAGCATTTCAATTCGGTCTACTATCTGTGTACTTGGGCGAACGACTTGAGGAACGACGTTTCCCCTCCTGCCATATGGGAGCTGTCATCGTACCTACACCCACGGAGGCGTGAGGGCCCAGCGG